ACACGTCCCAATTCATGCATGCATCAGGGCTTTAGTTTTTCCTGGAAACGGGGCGAGATCTTACGGTCACTTGTGCACACAAGTGCAAGTCAGGTGTCCGAGTCACGTGGCGTGCTGGTGGAGGCCAATGGCTTTCTCAGTGACCCTCGGTGGCCAGCAGCGAGCCCTTGCCTGCGCTTTCGCGCACTGCTCGTGCTGCGGGTACGTGGCGCGAGAGCGCGCTCTCCCCCCAGCCGGGGAGAGGGTGGGGCGAGGCGTTCGCTCCAGCCCCTGCTCTCCTCCCTCCTCCCTCCTCCTCACCCTTCCTCATCTTCCTCCCTCTTCCCGTTCTCTTCCATCGTCCTCACTCCTCCCATCCTCCTGCCCCTTGGTTCCCTCTTCCTGCTCTCCTCCCTCGTTCTGACTCCTCCGGCTCTCCCTCCTCCGCCTCCCTCTTCTGACTGCTCTCCTCCCTCTTCCTCCCTCTGCATCCCCTCACTTCTGCTCCCCCCCCTCCTCTACCCTCTCTCTCTGCGGACGAAGGGGCCCCCTGGCGGCGAATCCGACGCCGCCCCTGGCGCTCTCCGCGCGCCAGGGAGGGGGGGGGTGCAGCGCCGATCTGGGAAATCCGCGCGGACTTTTGAGTTTTTGTTGTTTATGCCACTGCTTGTTCCCCTAGCACAGCCTGGAGCCCCCTCGGTCGTTGGTCTTTTGGTCCTCGACCCTCCGGCGACGCTCTCCGGCATGGTCGCCTGCTCTCGCGGTCCGCTGACCCGGTCGTCGCTCACGGTCTGACAAAAAACCTGCGCGGTTTCGCTTCTTTAGGGCCCTGATGGTGGTTCGTCTCCTCGTCTTTTCCTGAGTGGGTTCCCAGGCGGACGCTCACACCTGCATTTTTGCTTCGAGTTGATTATCAGGAAGGAAAAAAACACACAGACACAATTAATCGTCGATTCCCCGAAAATATGGGAAAATATGGGAAGTGGGGGGGAAGACAAAAACCCAGAAAATATGGAAAATATAGGGAATCTTTTTACTTGTGTGTATTTATTTGTGTGTCCTGGGGCCCCTTCAGATTAACGGCGCTGTTCGTTCCCTCGCCCTTGCGGGGCTCCCCCGCCGGCTCCGTGTGCGGCCCCGCCCTCACGCTTGCCCCATGCTTCAAGGCTCCTGCACCTCGGCGCGCACGCGCCGGCTTTCATTGCCTGAGTGTGGCTCTTTCGCCCTCCCCCCCGGCCTCCCTGGCCGCTTCGCGCCGCGGCGCGCTCCCCTTTCTCCCTGTGCCTCGGTGTGCTTCGGCGCGAGGAGGAGGAGGAGGAGGAGGAGGAGGAGGAGGAGGAGGAGGAGGCGGAGGAGGAGGAGGAGGAGGAGGAGGAGGAGGAGGAGGAGCGCCCCGCCGCTGCTCGACCCAAGTCTGACCTCTGAGCGGCCGATGACTTGAAACAGTGCAACTGCTCTCAGAGGCAACGTTCGGGGTGGATGGGCTCAGGGTTCTGTGAGTCGCTTCGCTCACTCAGCTGGCCCATCCCGCTACAGTGCCTGGATGGTGGGTCCGAGGCCTCTAGGATCTTCGTGGGGATCCCGTCGAGGTCTGTCGGGGGGTCCGAGGCCTCTAGGATCTTCGTGGGGATCCCGTCGAGGTCTGTCGGGGGTCTCCTGGGGGCAGTTCGGAGGCCCTTGGAGTGCTGTTTGGGGCCTCCTGGGGCCTCTTTTGGGCCTCTTGGGTGCCTTCTGGGTGCCTCGTGGGGGCCTCTCAGGGCCTTTCGGAAGTGGATATGCTCAGGGTTTTATTGTTGTCGAGCGTTGTTCGGGAGGTTTCGAAAGTTTCTGAAACCCATGGCAGTCTCTACTAGGAGCGCTTCGTTGAGGGCGTTCCGCGGTTTGCGGAATCGTCCCCCGAACGGTCGCTGGAGAGCCGAATTCTGATCCGAAAGCCACTCGGCAGCGTCAGGGGGATGGGCCCAGGGGGGGATGCATGGACACCCAATGGTTCATTCATCTCCACTGGGGTCCCGACAGTCCGCTCCCGCCCAGGATCCTGCGGATTCCGTGCGGCAGGCGGCGCTTCATCAATGGTTCGGGGGGCACTGTCCTCGGTCCGTGGATGAGGCGCCCACGCGTCAGATCCACGGATCCGCAGTCCACGCTAGCGCCTGCCCGAGCGGCTCGCGCCGACGCGCCTGGCCCTCGGGGGACTCCGCCTCCGAGCCTCTCCGCTGCCCCTCGCTCCTCCGCTCGCTCCCGCCTCCTGCTTGCACCCTCGTGGGCGAAAGTCACGTGCGTCTCCGCGGCCTCGCGGGCCGGGCCCCTGTGCCGCGACCCCGCGGATGCGGGGCGTCGCTGTCGCGGATGCCCCGCGCGTGGCGTACCCGCGCGACCGCGTGTCCGCGGCGTCGCGCCCAGTAGTCAGACCAGGGCTAGACCTGAACGGCGTTTTTGGGTGACGTCGTGGGCCGATTTCGCTTCGAGTAAGGGCGGGTTGGAGACAGAGCGAGGGACAACGAACACGAAGCGACACCGGAAAACACCGCTTAGGTTCAGCCCAATCTCCAGACCCCCGCGGGCGCGGATCGTGCCAAAGGCTCGCCGCTCGTGGCCCCCCCGGCGATCGCTCCGTGGGGCCCTGCCGGTGCCGCAGCGCTGGGCGCCCGTGACGGGGAGGGCCGGGAGCGGCGGCGGCGCCGTCGGGGGGCGGGGAGAGGCGAGAGGGGCCAGGCCGTCTCGGAGGGCGGCGGGCCTCTCCGACTCGATTGGCCGTGAGAGTGACCTTTCGCCGGAGCGAGCCCTGATGTCTGGTGCGGGCCCACTGGGGCCCCCCGATCGCCGAGCGCGGTGCGACAGTACTCCAGACTTCGTAATGAAAGGGAGGGGGTCTGGACCCTCCAAGACAAGCCATTTCAGACCCCCCCCGTGGGAGAACCCTCCAAAACGTCGTCCCCAGACCCCCCCAGGCCCTCCAAGATAGCCTGGAAGAGACCCCCCCCGAAATGAGACCCCCCTCCCTTTATTACGAAATCTGGAGTAGCGTATTTCGCGATTGGATTTGGCCCCACCGCGGCCCCCCAAAAGCCGCGCACCAAAGGTCACTCTTGCCCAGGGTCACTCTTGCGTGTAGCTGACAGACGCCCGCCCCGGCCTTCCGAGGAGTCCTGCCCCCGTTCTGCCTTCCTCTAGGCCTCCCAGATGGGGTAGGAGTAGATGTGTCGACAGATCGCGCCGCATCGCCGGTGCATCGCCGATGCATCGACGATGCGGCTCGATGCGGAGCCCGATTTCTCCACGCCGACGTCGCCGACGCATCGCCGATGCATCGCCGATGCATCGCCGATGCATCGCCGATGTATCGCCGATGCATCGGCGATGCGGCGCGATCCTCCGAGCCCATCTACTCCGACCCCATCTAGGAGGCCTCTACTTCCCCCGCTAAGCTGGCGCCGAGGGCCGGGCAGCGGGCGAAGGATTCCTCGCTGCAGTTTCTGCCCGGTCGTGGCCAGACCGTGCAGCGCCCGCATCTTGCATCTTGCAGGTCAGGTGTCGGCTACACGTAAGAGTGACCTTTCGCCGGAGCGACCTTTGGTGCAGGCCCCTTGGGGCCCCCCGATCGCCGAGCGCGATGCGATAGTGGCGTCCTGCGCGCTTGTGTGTTGACCCCCCCGTGGCCCCCCCAGGAAGCCGCGCACCAAAGGTCACTCTTGCCCAGGGTCGCTCTTGCGTGTGGCCTAAGGTCTTGGCATCGCTCGGACGTGTGCATTTTTCCTTCGGCGAGGACCATCGAGGAGCATCCTTGATCATTTGGCGAAAAAAATGCGCACGAAACCGAAAAAAGCACCGGGAATGGACGTCCGAGCGATGGCGAGAGGTGGCCGCCTGCGTCCTTCGTGGGCCCTGCGTCGCTCCTCCCAGAGTGGCGGCCGGTGGCCACAGGGACGGTTCGCCCCGGCAGTGCCTCATCGGTCCGCCCCGCTTACGGGGGGGCGGAAAAGAGGGGGGTGATGACTAGGGGGGGTGGATATCATGGCGGGGGCCATGATATCTCCCCAGATTTCACGGCGCCCCTTCTTGTTTTAAAACGTCCCAGCCCCCCCCCCCCCCCAAGGCCGCGCACATGCCGCCGGCCATGATTTGCACCCCCCCCTCTTGGACGCCCCCCTCTTTGCCGCCCCCGACTCACGGGGGGACTTGCTCAGCCACGGGGAGCAGGCGATTGTCTCGGGCGGGTCTGAAGAAGGTCTCCCAGACACCACGAGTTCTTGGCGTGGCTCATGTTGGCATTCACTGCGTCGGGGATACGCCTCCGGAAGACATCCTAATCCCAGTCGGCTGACAATGAAGCGAGCAGGCCGACGGGGCATGACTACGGGTGATTCTCGGGCCACAGGGATAACGATGCACGACAACATCTAACCTGTGACCAGGGGGTATCATGACTTTAAGCGTGTGCACTGGTTTCACACCTGGTGTATACTGATACCGCATTGCGGCATACGCAGTACAGTCGTTGGTGGCGCTGGTCAGCCCGCACATAACGGCGCGCTGTCGCGTGTAACTCTGGATGTTTTTGGCCGTGTCCCCCATCACCGTTGTAGTCGCTAGTCGTCGTCTTTGTCATTGTCCTGCTGCTCCTCTTCCACCTACGGCGTATGAGGCGAAAGTAGGCAGGGATGAGTAGGCGGATTATTGCGTGGAGGATTAGAGAGAGAGAGAGAGGTAAAACAAGAGAGAGAGAGAGGAGTCATGGAGGAATGGGAAAAGGAGGGTGATGATCAGGAACACAAGGCGGAGGATGAGGAGGACGGGGAGGTGAAGTCTTGGGGGGAGAAGGACGTGGGCCTCGGCTTTGCGGCTCAGGACGGTGGCGTGACAACGGAGCAGGCCCCGCACCTGAAGGAGCGTGGGGGGCGGCCGAGTCTTCCTGACATTTTCGCCGCGGAGGATGGTGGAGGTCGACGATGCGGCGCGAGAGGTTTGCAAGCTGTCAGAGGTACGCTCCATGAGTCCGTTCCATGCGAGAGGATCATTTCGGGTTCGAGATCTGAGGTTTTTGGCCGTGTTGGTATGTTCTCGGCTGTTTTTGCGGCCTCGGAGTGCTTTCCGGCAGCTGCGCCTGGCCGAGAGCGTTCCAGGGATGCCCGAAACGTCCCGAACGGCCGCTGAAGATCCGGGTTATGACTTCAAAACCATGCAGCAACGTTGAGGTTGGGATCGGCCCCGGGGGGATGCATGGACTACATGCGCCGCGCCCTGCGAAGAGAGTTCTGAGGCGCGAGGATCGTGCCGAGCTGTTCCAAGAGGCTCGATGTGCGATTCGTTCCAGGACGGAGCATGGGGCACCCGCACTTTTGACGCACACGTGTGCTTGGTGGTAGTGGCAGGGTCCCCATGCGGTTCCCCGCCCGGCACACCCCTCATACCGTTCGTGGCCCCATAGAGAGTTCAACCGAAGGCCCCAGAGGCAGGGCCCGCATGCGGTTCTGCGCCCATTTCGGCACCCTCCTCACACGTGTCGTGGCCCCCCGGCGGGCTCCACCGAAGGCCCCAGTGGCAGGGTTCGCAGGCAGTTCCCCGACCAGTTCGGCACACCCCTCACACGTGCCGTGGCTCCCTGGAGAGCCCGCCCGAAGGTCCCAGTGGTAGGGCTCGCAGGTGGGTCCCCGCCCATTTCGGTACATCCCCGATTCGTTTCGTGGACCCGCTGGGAGTTCCACCGAAGGCCCGAGGGGAAGGGTCCACATACGGTTCCCCACGCATTTCGGCACTCCCATCGGAGGCCTCGTGGCTCCACAGGGAGCTCCATCGAAGGCCCGACTGGCAGGGCCCGCATGCGGTGCCTCACCCATTGCGGCACACCCCTCACACGCTGCGTGGCCCCATATGGAGCTCAATCGGAAGCGGTGGCCACAATGTGGTACTCACAACTGCAGGTGGTTGGGATCTTCGCCAAGATTTGTAGCCGGAATGTGCACGGTGCTAAGGCGAGAGCCACATTTTGAAAACGAGCCGTCCTTCATCCGTGAAGCTGTTGCAACATCAAAGTTGCAGGATCATGAGTGGTAAGTCTCGGGCGAAACGCCTGGGCCGCTTTACCGACGCGTCTGGGGATGCGACAGGGAGGAGGTATTTAGAAGGAAAGGGGATGGATGAGGAGGAGGAGGAGGAGGAGGAGGGATGAGAGAGAAGGAGGACGAAGAGGATGAGGAGGAGGAGGAGGAGGAGGAGGAGCAGGAGGAGGAGGAGGAGGAGGAGGAGGAGGAGGAGGAGGAGAAGGAGGAGGAGGGAGGAGGAGCAGGAGGATGATGAGAAGGAGCAGGAGGATGATGAGAAGGAGCAGGAGGAGGAGGAGGAGGAGAAGCAGGAGGAGGAGGAGGAGGAGAAGAAGGAGGAGGAGGAGGCTCATCGATTCGCTTCTTGTACTTTCCCGCTTGTGCCCAGCCTCCTTTTTGCTCGGGTGCTCCCTCTGGTGCCGCTTCCGTTTGGAGGATGTGGAGGTGTTCGCCCCGAGAGGCGCGCGACCGTTGAACATCACTAACTCGCCAACGCCGTGCGCCTAGCGATTGAACCGTCTGTCGAGAGGCGCATTACTCGATGCAAGCGGGGCTTCTTACCTGGCAGGTCGATGCTCGCGAACATCTTGGACGTGGACGAAACGATGATCTCGCAAGCCATGCGGGCGGAGGGTACGCGTGCTTTGTTCTTCTACTCTGCTGCGGCGTTCCCGTGGATCGAGCAGGAGCTCCACTCGTTCTTCTGGGGGATCGGGTGGCCCGCGTGGCTCCTCAACTTCACTGGCAGTCCAAGTCTAGGTATTGGCACAACCACTGCCAGATAGTGCTCGGTGGATCGGTGCACGCCGGCATGGAGATTACGAAGGGGATTCGCCAGGGTTGTCCGTCGTCGCCGTCGATCGTGGATCGGCGGCGTCGACTGTTGAAATCGTCGTCGATCGTCGTCGTCGTCGACGGTCGTCGACCGTCGTCGTCGTCGTCGTCGTCGTCGTCGTCGTCGTCGTCGCCGTCGTCGTCGTCGTCGTCGTCGTCGTCGTCGTCGTCGTCGTCGTCGTCGTCGTCGTCGTCCATTGGCTCCACTGCCGTTCGCGGCGGTGTCCCACCTCTGCCTGCGCAGAGGCTTCCCCGGCTTCTCCCAGATGCCACGCTCTGAGCCCGGGGCCGACGACCCGGCCGCTGTGCTGCCGGGCGCGCTGCCGAGGCTCGCGGGCTCGTTCGCCGAGCTTGCCCGGCTATCGGGGCTGCGCTCTGACGTCCTCCTCTTGCCTCCTCCTCCCCCCCAGGGCTGGACCTGCACAGTGTTTTGGCGATTTCGTGGGCCGTTTTCGTTTCGGCTTCGTTTTGCGGCGGAGGTGGATTGAAGACAAAACGAGGGAGAATGAAAGCAAAACGAGAACGAAAAACACCGTTTAGGTTCAGCCCTGTCCACTCCGTTCTCCTCCCTCTATGAAATCGTGTGCCCGCTGCTTCGGGCCTGTGGCCGATGGACTTGCTGTCCCGGCCGCGTGGCCGATGGGTT